AGCTTATCCACCACGATCAAGTTGGCTTCCTCTCTGGGATGCAAGGTTGGTTCAACATATGCAAATCAATCAACATAATTCATTACATAAACAGAACCAATGACAAAAATCCCATGATTATCTCAACAGGTGCAGGAAATACCTTCAATAATATTCAACATCTCTTCATGTTAAAAACTCTCAATAAACTAGGTATTGAAGGAACAAACCTAAAAATAATGAGTCATATATGACAAACCCACAGTCAATATCATACTTAATGGGCAAAAGCTGGAAGCGTTCCCTTTGAAATCCTGCATCCTATTCAACATAGTATTGGAAGTTCTGGCCAAGGCCATCAGGCAAGAGAAAGAAATAAAGGTATTCAATAGGAAGATAGGAAGTAAAATTGTCTCTGTTTGCAGACAACATGATCCTATATTTAGAATACCCCATCATCTCAGCCCCAAAACTCCCTAAGCTGATAAGCAACTTCAGCAAAATCTCAGGATACAAAATCACTGTGCAAAAATCACAAGCATTCCTATACACAAACAATTGAAAAGCAGAGAGTCAAATTATGAATGAACTCCCATTCACAACTGCTACAAAGAGAATAAAGTACCTAGGAATACAGCTAGCAGGGGATGTGAAGGACCTCTTCAAGGAGGACTACTAACCACTGCTCAAGGAAATAAGACAGGACACAAACAAATGGAAAAATATTCAATCCTCATGGATAGGAAGGATCAATATTGTGAAAATGGCCATATAGCCCAAAGTAATTTATAGATTCAATGGTATTTCCATCAAACTACCATTGACATTCTTCACAGAATTAGAAAAAACTACTTTAAAATTCATATGGAACCAAAAAAAGAGCCCACATAGCCAAGACAATACTAAGCAAAAAGAACAAAGCTGGAGGTATCATGCTACCTGACTTCAAACTATACTACAAGGCTACAGTAACCAAAACAGCATGGTACTGGTACGAAAACAAACATACAGACCAATGGAACACAATAGAGACCTCAGAAATAAAACCACACATCTACAATCATCTGATTTTCGACAAACCTGGCAAAAAACAAAACAAAACAAAACAAAAAACCAGGAATGGGGAAAGGATTCCCTATTTATTACATGGAGCTGGGAAAACTGGCTAGCCATATGCAGAAAACTGAAACTGGACCCCTTCCTTACACCTTATACAAAAATATACTCAAGATGGATTAAAGACTTAAATGTAAAACGCAAAACCATAAGAACCCCTGAGGAAAACCTAGATAATACCTGTCAGGACATAGGCATAGGCAAAGATTTTATGCTGAAATTGCCAAGAGAAATTGCAACAAAAGCTAAAATTGATAAATAGTATCTAATTAAACTAAAGAACTACTGCATAACAGAAGAAACTATCATCAGAGCAAAAAGGCAATCCATAGAATGGGAGAAAATTTTTGCAGTCCACCCATCTGACAAAGGTCTAATATTCAGAATGTATAAGGAATTTAAACAAATTTACAAGAAAGAAACAATCCCATGAAAAACTGGTTAAAGGATATGAATAGACCCTTCTCAAAAGAAGACATTTATGTGGCCAACAAACATATGAAAAAAAGCTCAACATCACTGATCATTAGAGAAATGCAAATCAAAACCACAATGAGA